GTCATGCCTGGCCATTGGCACAATCCCCCAACTAAGTTCTGGAGAATGACTGTAGACTACCCCAAGCTCATGTAGTCCTGATTGCAGCTGCAGTGCCACTTGAAAGAACAGAGTTATGTGGCTTCCGGTAGATGTCATGTGGCTCTTGATTTGGTACATAACTTCTTTCCTATCCCAATCAGAAATTGTCAAAATCAGTTTGAATCCACACAGAAGAGAGCATAATATTCACTAGCAGTCATCCTCAGGGCTGTATAACTCTCCTGTCCCATTATAATGGACACCCCACAGAACTTCACAATGATTAATTCCATCAGTGCTGTCACCTAGCTTGGAAAGGAAGAACAAGAGATGAATGGTATATGGCTCTATAAGACATGTGCACTCCCACAAGCAAGCAGATACAACCTAAGATTTGGGGGTCAAAGCAAAACTTGTGCACTTTTCACTCTTACTGTCACCTTCCTGGAGATGTTGATCTGCAACAAATCACAACTGCATTATCTGAATTTTAAAAGAGAATAACTTTTAACATACAACTTTTAAGAAATATGATATCCGAAACTAAGCAAAAGATTGAAATCATTTCACAGAACACTTATATAAAATTTCTCATTTAATTCTTAAGTATGTGGTTGTTTTTTATTATAAAACCATTAAGTAAAGATAAAACTACTAGATGGGATAAAGCCATATTACATGAAACCCATTTTGACCTTTTTTTCAACTTCACCTCCATAAAATAAAAAGAACATTTTGTCAATTAATAGATATTTCCATTTCCATTTCCAAATGGAAGGAATCAAGTACAAATCATACCAGAAAGTGCAAGTTAACAGATGGTAAATTGATGAGATTGAATACTACCAGAAAGTCTGGGGACTTGTCCAGCTTTTACATTTACTAGGATCCCCTAAGATAAAGGGCACAAGAACCTTACACTAAATAACCATACAGATCCTCTTCATTCAGTACAAAAGATCACACAGATCCCTGCATATTTGAATTCGAAATTTATATAAGGGTATTTCTTACAGGAATTCCTAAAGGTTAATCATAAAGTCTTCTGAGAAGATGGCAATAGCCTTCCAGTATAATTAGGACCTTATCAGGACTACCACATATTCCTACCATCTGTTTCAGGTGTCATACTTTAGTAAAATATGATCATTATCCCAGAGATAATTCTAAGAGGGGTGAATTCATTTCCTAATAGGATAAACTGACTTCAAGTGAGAACACTGATGGTCTTACAAGTTCACCCAGAAAAGTGTCCCGCCTGAGGGATGACACAGTTAAAATTACAAATTAGAAGGAACCCAATATTCAGCTGGTGTAGCTGTCAAGGTCCATCTCTCCTACATTATGGAGATCAACTGAACTTCTCACTGCAAATGGAAATTCTCTGGAGCTTCTGCTTGGCAGCTACCTTAGCCAGCCCCTGAGACAGAGAATAACTCTGTCCTGGCAAAAGGGCATCAACTAAACAACTACCATTCACCTTTCCACACTTGGTAGTTTCTGTCTTGTGATTAATAGAAAAAGATATCATGAATCTCAGTAGAGAAAAAATTAGATATGTTCACGTAATAGTGGAACTTCCAAGTAAAGCCTGAGGAAAAGGCAAAACCTGCTCCACCTTCACTACCCCATCCCCACCCCATACCAATAACAACAAAACCCAACAAATGTTGAAATGAGTGCTCTCTAGCAGTACTGCTTTCAGGGAGGAAATGCCTTAACAAAGGAATTACAAATTAAGACAGAGATACAGACCAGGATTTGTAAAGAAGTGGTTTTTATAAGCAAATCGAGGCATAATGATATATTCATCTTAACATCCTTCTTTACCTGATTATCTCCCATCCTATGAGTTCACTTTAGCAGTTGTACCTTAGGAAAAGCTTTCCCTATTCTTCAACATCCTCCCTAAACCCTGACTTAGTGTTACTTCAGGGTGCTGTCATAGTACATATAATTGCATTTCTTATCTTCTGTTGTAATTGACTTTTTATTGAAATATAAATAACATAATATAAAATTTGCCCTTTTGAGGTATACAATTCAATGGTTTTTAGTATATTTACAAAGTTAAACAATCATCAATAATATCTAATTACATATTTTATCACCCCCAAAAGAAACCCCATATCCAATAGCAGTCATTCTATCCCCCCCCTTCCTTCCCACCCTTGGTAACCATGAAACTACCTGCATTTATGAATTTACTTCCTTAGGACATTTTATATAAATGGAATCTAGCTCCTTTCACTTAACCTATTGTTTTCAAAATTTATACACAGTGTAGCATATAACAGTAATTCATGCCTTTTATGATTCCATTATATTTATATACCAGGATTTTTATCCATCTGTCAGTTGATGCGCTTTTGAGATGTTTTTACATTTTTGCTCCTATGAATAATGCTGCTATGAACACTCAGGTTTGAGTACTTAAGTGAACCCTTTGGTACATTCTTAGGTGAATTCTTATGTACATTCTTGAAATTGCTGGGTCATATGGTAACTCTTTTTTTAACTTTTTGAATAACTGCAAAACTGTTTTCCATTTCCCATTCCCACCAACAATATAATTTCCCTTACTTATCCAGCACTCAAACTTCTTAGGGCAGAATCGTGTTCTATTGTATCCCACCAACCTAGCTAGCATAATCCCAATGCACTATGTGAATAATAGAATAAAACCTAACTTTTTTTACTTTTTGTCTTCTTCTGAGGCCTCCACTCATTAAAATATCTCCCTCCAGTATTGTTAGCTTTCCTCCCTCCAGATTCTCTTATAAAGCTGCTGGAAGGAACATACTTCTGGATACTAGCACTTCTTGAAATGTGTGCTCTGTGATTACGAAAAGATTGTGATCTACTTGAAGTTTCTCATATGCAGTTAATGTAAGTCTATCTGGGAGTAGAATAAAGTGTTTCTGAGTTGGTATCAATACACATATAGTCAGATACCCATGCATATTTTCAGTTATCCTCCAATGAATATAAGCACAGGACATACTTGGCTCTAGGACACCCTCTGCTGGCCATGCTGTCAACAACACTTGACAAAGAATAGCAAAAGACTCCCACAGCAGACAAAAAGCAACATATGGGACCCATCCCATTGCAAAGGCAACCAGAGAAGATCTGCAGATGAAAGAGCCTTCCGATCCTAGAAGCACTGGGTAAGGATTAGCCTCCCATGACTGGCACTTAAGTAGCCTGATGACTTCCAGCTCTGGACAGTTAAAAAGACCATCACATAGAAGAAATACCCACTTTGATCCTTAAACACAAAATGGACTTATGACAAGGATAGAACTTATAATTTAAATATGACTGACTACTCTTGATTTAAACTGGTTATATCTCTTATAGAATCATATATGAATATACATAAATTCCAGACAAAATCACACAAAAATCTTTGCATTTCTATTCCTGACAGGCATGTATTGATCCTCACAGAAAAATAGAATTACCTCTGTTTTTCATATGAGACATATAATTATACCCATACAATTTGTATAATTTTGTTAATAATAAAAGAGTAACTATGTTCAATAAGTTATTGAAGTTTTATATAAATTTCCTGTGATAAGCAGAATGCTCCTTCAAGGATATCCATTCCCCAATCCCAAGAACTAAAGAGTATGTTAGATTATATGCCAAAAGATTTAATGAAAGTTTTAAACCTTAAAATGGAGAGATAATTCTGGATCATTTTAATGGGTCCAGTAAAAAAGCCCTTAAAGATACTTCCAATGGGGAACCTGGAGATATCTGAAGGGTAAGGGGGTCTTAAACCCACTATTGCTTAAGAGGAAGGGGAGATGGAAAGCATGAGAAGGAATGTGGGCAGCCCCTAAGATCAAAGATCAGCCCTCAAATGACAACCAGAACCACAACTGGTAAGGAAATGGGGACCTCAGTCCTACCACTACAAGAAACTGAACTTGGCCTACCCTCTGGATAAGTGTGAAAACAGGTCAGTCTCAGAGCCTCCAGACAAGAACTCAGTCCAGCTGACAGCAGATTTCAGTCTTGTGAAATACTGAAGAGAAGATCCAACTAAACCACAGTGTATGTATAGAACTGGGAATAAATAAATTTGCGCCATGTTAAGCCGCTAACTTTGTAGTGATTGTTATGGCAGCAATAGAAAACTAATAAATTCTCAAATGTTAGTATGCTAAATTACAATAATCTATGGTTCTGAAACACAATAATCACTGAAATACTTCAAATTCCACATTCCCAGGACCAATTCACATCTATCAAATGTTATCATTTATAATGAGTAAAGGGGACATTTCTAGTTATAATTACCAGGTACTTTTAAAGATGCTCTCTAAGACTAATATAATGATATCTACGTAAGTATCCGTTTCAACATTAACAACTTAATAGTTCAAATAGATGATCACCTTGTCAAGTCTTCTTGAACTTGTTTTACCAGTCTGGTGTAGTTCACATTAGGAATACCTCTCATTCATTATATACCTAATGTATGTTATTAGAGTCATGTTTATTATAACTTTTTATTAGTCACATTAACAAGACTATTATTAATACAGGTAAATGAATCAATATTTATAAAAATGTTAGAATATAAATGATGTCAATGTTTATAGGCCTCAAAAGTACAAACAGTGCTAAGGCAAAAGTCACCTATATTTTTAGTATATACATGCATAAAACCAATAATATTGAGTTACTTTTTAACAGGACTTTATTGGTATGATTATCACATTTTGGTATTTATATTTCTTAAATTAGTAGCTCAAAGTTGCATGTAACTTTATTGCAAGAAGTTACAGTTCCTCCAGTTCCTGATCTGCAAAACACATGATTTAGGGCATTCCAAGTTTAACCTGCTCCAGCCAACTTTTCTGAATTACAGCAAAGCCAAAAGGAAAAAAAAAAAGGAGAGGAGGGATTTTTCCAGAGACTCTAGAATATAACAAAATCTGGATTTGGAAATGAGCACTTACTTTTTCTGAGTTCTTTCAGCCAGCCTTGCAATCTCTATAGCTGCCTTCCTTGCTTCAAAATCTGCCCTTTTTATTATCTCTCCAGTCCCTCGGTAGCCAAGCTCCACCAGCTGGCGGGCCAGGCTTTCATCCTAAGGAGAAAATCAATTAATAGATATGTGAGCAAGTGAGATATTTTCTCCAGGGTATACCAAGGAGTTGTTTTAAATGACAAATTAAATGTTTTGTCTTAAAATGAGACACAGCTATTAGATATGAAAAGCTAGCTTTCTAACAATGCATTTATACACATCTGATTCCGTCTGTCCTTGACCATGTATATGAGACTAAAAAAAATGAAACAATGTTAACCACTAAATTTTCTTTAAAGGGTTGGAAGACAAAAGTCTGTAGGTCTTTAATCAATTTATGAGACCAACAGTAGACAATTAATACAGTATCTTTAAAACAATAAAATTAGAAACAATAGTGCTCATAGAAGACTAAAAATCAATTGCACAAAAAGAGAATAGGGTTGTTTTCACAAAGTTCAATTTTTCAGACTTACTTCCTTGAAGTCAATTAACTGATGACAGAATATTATAACTTCAAATACAGCTAAAGAGGAACAGATGAATTTCCTACTTAACTATAAAGATATTGTTTCCATATAATGTTGGTAACAATAAAAACAGTAAAGTAGACACCCAAGAAGATAACCACAAAAAGCTTCAAGTTGAAAAGAAATTTTTTTCCCCATAATATTTTTAGGCCTTTTATATTTCAGTTACTTGAAGAATTATCTCATATATTTTTGTCACTTGTATGGCATATTCAGAGAGAATATTTGTTTTCCTATTATTTGAAGAAGTATCATTTTACATGAAGTTACTGCCATAAAGCATTATATATAAAAAAATATTTATCTAATACTCATCATCATCTTAAATAAAATATATTTAAAATAATAATTAAAGCAGAATATAGACCTTTTATTAATATATCACTATTGAATGCATAAAGTGTCTAACAAATAAATGAGACACTTAAGAGGCTTGGTTTACAATTGTATTCAACCTATAATGGCTTTTTTCAGGTTATAACTGTTAAACAAAACCAAAAAAAATTAGATACTAGAAACCAGCTACTTTCCTTTATGAGCATCCATGTAGCAATGTGTGTACATTGCCAAGCTATTACAATACAAACCACCAGACCTTTTGGCTTGTTTCTGAAATATTCTGCTTAATATGTTATATGTGTTAGTGTGAACCACAAAACTGAGCAAATGCCTCCACCTAGTGGAACTAACCTTCAACAGAAAACGCAATGCAGATTGGGGTTTGCTTTACAAAAGTGAATGGATTTCTTTATTTGAATTAATTTTTTAAATTTTCTTAAATATTTTACTAATAGAGCTTATAGAAAGGATTCAGTTCAGCAATACTGTAGTATTCTTCCATGGGAATATAAATTCCTCAAATTCAATATAAAAGTTTCTGTAATAGAAACCATTAAAGTTTCTGTATTTACTTTGTAGATGAAATGAATTTGATATCCTTATGTGCCTTACCTGGATCACACAAACTCATTTGGATTGTTTTGTAACCAGAAGAATTAATCTCTGCTAATAAATGGGCAAAAATCTATTGAGAAAACAGGCAGAAAGTCAGCCTTGGTGGCTTTGTATACCATTATCATGCTCTAACTGGTTGAATCACTATTCATCCCTCCATAATGACAACACTTCTTGCAAGCTAGTCAAAAGCAAAACTACCAGCTCAAAAGAAGCACAATGCTCTAGATTATCCCAGGGATATGCTCCTTTTGGGGAGGGGTGGAATTTGGTTTAAAATTGAATCTTGACTTGAAAATTCTAACCCAACTTTTTTCCCCAATCCTCAAAATAATGTCTTTTAGGAGTACGCAGAAAGTCTCATTTAATGCAAACAGTTCCCCTATTACCAGTATCAAGAAGAATTTTCTGCCTCTTATAAGGTGGATTTACTTGAAACAGAAGATAAAATCAGAAGGTTCATTGAAAGTTTTAAAATTCAGTACATTCTTTCTCCACTTTCTGTCCTGGGATTCAGAAACACAAAATCTATGATAGAATGCTAATTGCCAGCCACCCACCTCGAAACAAAATGGGTGCTATTGGTTTCATTCTATCTTGCCCTTTTTATGAAAGTAATAAGATTATTGTAGAAAACTCTGAGGCATACTGACACAGCTCCCTGGCCACCAAGCCCACAGCTGGTTACTGTTCCCTTCCAAGAAGCAGCAGTGGATTGGTGGAACAGCATAATGTCAGCCCTAGTGGATTGGAGCTCTCTGGGCAAGCACTGGTGAAGGCCATGTAGATGTGGCAGTCCTAAGGCTCTGGGAGTGCCTATCACCCTTAGGCGGCTAGGCCTGGACATGGTATGGTTACCTGCTGGGGAAGCCCAATCCACACAGCACTGCAGCCCACATCCTGCTAAAATAGACCAGCCCATAACCTCAACCTCCTACTTTGTGATTCAAGGTGAGAAAATGGAAGTGGGGCAGACCTGAAGAATGAAGTCGAGACTCTGGAGTTGCCAATAGCATTAGTACATTTCCAAACTCTAATTAGCATAAATTTGGACCCAAGTCCATGCAAATAGCGGTGACCCAAGTCCATGTAAGTTCCTGGTCTAGCATACTCAGACAATTCCTGAACTGGCATACTGACCCCTCTTGCACTGCAAAAGTCTGTTCCCGTTTCTATTCTTCAATGAATCCCACTCTTATATTCACTCATCCTGGTCTGTGGATTTCATTCTTCCAATTCATGAGACAATGAGGGTGAGCTGCTGGGGTCTGCTGCAACATGGGAGGGCTTGGCCTTCCATTAAGAGCTGCAACACCTCTTGGCTGCAGAGGCCTGCAGCCTTACACAGACCCCACCTGCCAGCAGAAGCAAAAAAAAAAAAAAAATGGAGTTTTTTTAATCTCAAAACTCTGGTTTCAACACCACAAACATATCACACATTGATATGTCATCCATTATCTTTCCAGAGATGATCACTGACATCTTGGGTTATCATCTTTCAATCCTTCCTCTTAATGTATATATTGGTTGTGCTAGATTTCTTTGAACAAAATCATGCTGTGCAAAGTTTCTCATGGCCTACTGATTTGACATTTAATAATGCATCTTGAACACCTTTTCATTCAATAATAATAAAATAAAATTTTAGCTACTACACATTTCATAAACTCTGTGTGCACAAGTATTGTGTGTAGTTCACTACTGTGGCTTTAGCTCCTTGCCTTTATCTGACAGTGAAAATGATTGAATCTTATTTTGATTTTGTATTGCTTTAATTACCAGTGAGGTTCACCATCTGTTCTTACAGATGTTATTGGTCATGTATATTTCTTCTATTTGAATTATCTGTTTTGAATTGTTAAATGAACCCTTTGGTCATTTATTCTTAATTTGTAAATACTTTGGACATATGTTAAATGTATTAACTAAATGCATGCAAAACATCTGCAAATATTTTTTCTAGGTCAATGTTTTCCTGTAACTTTATATAGCTTTGTGTTTATACCTAGATGTTTAGAGCATTTGGACTATATTGTGGTGTCTGGTGCTTCTATTTTTATTCAAATTTCTTTATTCCAGAAAAGATAGCTGTGACATTAATTGTTGAAGACTGCTTTCTTTCTCTGCTAACTTGAAATTATACATTTTTGTGTACTTACATCTCATATACATGAAGATCTATTTCTGGATTCTGGTCCCACTCTATTGACTGGTCTCTCTGCTCTCTCAACTGTTACAAAGGTAATACAGATACTTCTCTACCTGCCTAGGGATAAAACTCCACCACAACTCTGTCTTAACATATTTAAAGTCTTACCTTCCCTGAGCTACCTGCTTCCATGAGGAGCTGCTTGACTCAGGGAGGTCAGAGAGTGTTGGAAAACAAGACATATTCAACCAGCATTTTATATTGATTATGGAAATCTAGATAATTTGAAACAGCAGGCATCCTGCTATTAAAAAATATATAACATTTTTTGAATAAACCTATTGGAGGTAGGTTCTCTAGAAAACAGATTTGGGAATGTAGGTTTATGTGCAAAAGGTCTACTGGAGAGTTTCTTGGAATTTGCCATTCTGTGAGGTTGAAAGACGCAGGATTGGGCAGCAAGACCTCAGCAGCTCTGGAGATGGGCTGGCCCTGCAGAGTTTTCCTAAATTGATGTAAGGTGACCAGACCAGACCTTTATAACCTCATAATAAACAGTAATTTAGATAAGAACTGACCTAAGAAAGGGTATGACTTTGGAAAATATGAATGTTTTAGATGAATAGTCATCTAATCAGTCTAGTTAGAAGTTTGTCAATTTTATTGATAGTCAGTGAAGCAACTTTTTATGTCTTTGATCATCTCTTATTATTTTTTCCTTTCCATTTCTTTGATTCCTGCTGTTTGTTCTTCTATTTATTTATTTGGGCTTAATTTACCCTTTTTTCTAGCCTGTCACAGTAGACACTAAGAACATTATTAGATTTTTCTTCTTTTCTACTGTAAGTTTTTCAATCTCTAAAGTCTTCACTAGAACTCCTTAAAGTGTATCCAACAAACCTAATACATTTCATTTCCATTTTATTCAAATGAAAATATCTTCTATTTTTCTTTTTGTAATCTCTTCTTTGATCATGAGTTATTTAGAACTAAATACTTAACACCCAAATATCTGAAAATTTTCCAGGTTTATTTCTATAATCGATTTCTATTTTTCATTATGTTATTAGAGAACAGATTTATGATTTCAATATTTTTAAATATATTTCTTTTGTTTTATGACCTAGTATAGGCCCCATGTGTATTTGAAAAGAATATGCATTCTGTTGGTTTTGTGTGTACTAGTCTATAAATGCTAATTAAATCAAGGCAATTGCTAGTCTTCTCCAGTCTTTCATGTCACTGCAGATTTTCTATCTTCTAGTTTGGTCTGATCAATTACCAAAAAAAGGAACACTGACACCTCCAGTTACAATTGGGAATATAACTATTTCTTTTCATTCTTAACCAATTTTGCTTTATGCATTTTGAAGATCTGTAGTGAACTACATTACTTAGCACTAAAATATTTATTATGATATCTTGAT